GAGGCATATGTTGTTACAAAGAAGATAAAATGAGGAGCAGATGGAGTGACGGGAGTGAGGGCAGTTAGATCAGGGATCACCGAGGAAGTGACATTCGAGCAGAGACCTGCGTGCCCAGTGGCAGCTGGTTGATGGCCATGAAGGCAGGTCAGAACACACCAGGCTCACCCAGCCTTCGTTTGGCAAAGCACTGATTGGTCACCTACTATTTGCTGGGTCCAATAGTCAGCAAGCAGACATGGCCCTTGCGTTGAGAGCCTATAGCCTATTGGGAGAGAAAAACATATAAGGAAATATGCAAATAAGTAGGGACTCATAAATTGTGATGTGTGGGTGCCAGGAGAGGGGAGAGGGTGTGCGAGACTTATTTTGGACGGTCGGGTGCAACAAAAGGCTTCCACTTTTCTTAGAGAGCATGGCAGTCTCACCTTTTCAGGAGCACACTAGATTTTCATGCTTTAAAAAAAAACAACAAATGTTTTCTTTTACAACAATTTTGGATTTACAGAATCACTGCCAAGACTGTACAGAGAGTCCCCAGATTCCCCACATCTGGTTCCCCCCTCACCAACGTCCCCCACGGCGTGGTGCGCCAGCACTGCTCGGGCACTGGTGTTATCACTGTTAACTGAAGCCCAGGTGTCCGACGTCCTCCCTCTTTCCCCGACGTCCTTTTTCTGTTTGAGGTCCCACGTGGGACACCACATTCCATCCAGTTTCCTGTACCCTGAGTCCCCTTTTGGCTGTGACAGTCTCTCAGACTTTCCTTGGTTTTGATGACAGCTATGAGGAGGACTGGTCCAGTACTCTGTAAAATTCCCCTAGACTGGGATTTGTCTGATGTGTTTCTCATGACTAGACTTGGGTTAAGGGTTCTTGGGAGGAAGACCCCAGAGATGACAGTGCCCTTGTCATCACATCCTAGCAGGGCTACGTGCTACCCACACGACTGGCCACGGTTGGTGTTGACCTTGACCCCCTGGACGAGGTGTGCTTGTGAGGTTTCTCCACTGGAAAGTGAGAAACTTCTTTTTTTTAAAAACTCCCTTTCTGCACGGTCCTCTTCGGGAGGAAGTGGGGAGTTACGTTTCGTCTTCTGGAAGGCAGCGTGTTCACACATGTTACTTGGAATTCTACTCAGGAGATGTGCCTACTCTCCAATTCTTATGCATTTTTTACCAACATTTTTTATGCTGGGTCTTTTTAGGATTTAGAAGTTCAAGAACCCTATTGGTATTTCTAGGAACCTACAAATATTTTACTTCAATTACTAAAATGCATGAAATTACCAAAGCCTTAAATTGGAGGGTAGGAAAAAAGCCAATAATTATTTTTATTTTTTTTTCTGTTGGCGATACACTTTAATGAGAGACTTGGGAAATACCAAAACAAAAGCACCTCTCTGGTCCCCCTGCCCGGGGCTGACATTATTCACATTCGGTTTATTATTTTTAATACTTCTGTGGACAATTCTTACACAGATTACGGTATCTATGCCATTTTGTTTCTTGCCTCTTCCAACCTTTTTTTTTTTTTGCTTATCATTGTAGCGAAAACATTTCTCCTGTGTTGCGATACAGACTTCACAACCGCACTTCTTCAATAGCTGCTAAACATTTCCTCACGTGCTCACGGGGTCCCCACCCCCCCAACTCGGCTCCAAGCCTAGCATGTGGTCGGTGTTTAGAAATAATTTTTAAATGAACGAATATATGACAAAATAATCACTCTCCTGTTTTTAGACATGTAGGTTATTTCAGTGTTCTTGGTTCTAAATAGCACCGGCAGGGACAGATTATTCCCCTAGGATAGCGTCCCAGAGTGGAATTACCCAGCCAACGGGGGCGAAAACTTTTCAAGATAAATGCACCAGACCAGAAATCTCCCTCCCTCCCCCCTCTGAACCACTGGCAATTGTGCTGAGGGTAATAATTTACAATTGATTAAAGAGTTTGTGGGGTGTTTTTTTCCCATCGTTTCTCTCCCTCCTCTCCCCCTCCCCTCCTGCCCAAAAGGGGAGAAATTATCGGAGAAGGTGAAGACGTTCTCAGACAATCATATTAACATATTCCAACAATCGCAATTTGCAAAACAGTAATCACAACTCCCGGGATCTGGGAGGCACTAATCAAAGCGGCAGGTTTAATTCCATTTTAAATATTGATGAAACGTGCCTGGGACGCCTCACCCCGGCGTGGCAGGGCCCGGAGCCTCCGCGCGGGCCAGGGGCGGGGAGGGCGGGCTGGCGAGCAGCTGCCGGGAGGGTAGGCATCTGCGATTCAAATTGGTGGCTGTGCAGCCAGGTAGAGAGTGAAAGGGGTAGTGAAGAGGGCTGTTAAGTCCATTGCTGTCAATTTGTAACGATCAGGGAGGGGCCGAGGACTGGTTCAGCACAATAAACCCAGTTTGTCTGGTTTCAGGGGTTACCACTGAAGAGGTTGCAGCTGCACTGATTCGAATAGCCCGGAGACTTCAGAACTGTAATTACCAACCAGGCTGCTCGCGGTGTGGTGGCAAAGTGGGCTTCACCAGCGCTTAACTCCTTGTGTGCCGCCGCTCTTCCCCCTCCCCCACACCCACCTCCCCCCGCCCCGCCCCCGGATGGTAGCCACACTCAGATTCCCAGGCAGTCTCCCCAGGGGAACTGGAGACCCACTGGCTGCCAGGCAGCCGGACTTTTTCCTCAGGTCCAGTGTGAAGAAGTAGTGGGGGCGGGGGCAGCCTCGCCCTCCAGCGCCTCACTTCTGCCCCAGTCCGGGGAGTCAGGCTTCGGAGTCTGACGAGCCTTGGTTTGAATTCCAGTGGGTGCAGGCACTGGACAAGGCTCATCTGCTCTATGAAACGGGGGTGATCTCCCCTACCCTATTGGTCTATCACAGATCCAGTGAGATCTGGTGTTTGTAAAGCACAGAGCACACAGTAGGCCATCAGGATGCCTCTATCTCCCTGATCTTGGGCCTGGCGCTTTCACAGAAGAGGAAGGTGGACAGGAGGATCTGATTCAGAGGGCAGGATTTCTGCCGGCCCTCTACGTTACAGCTCCCAGGAAGTCCCCTTGTTCTCCAGCTACCGCCATTTGTCACCCAAAGAGCATGGGCAGTGCTATCCTCCCATCTCTTAGGCGGGAGGCGAGAGCTCCTCCAGTGCAGGAGGCAGGGGTTTGGGCTAGATCTCTCTGTCCCCGGGGCAAGGCACAGAGGGAGACACAGCGTGCAGACAGCATGGTGCTCCCCCGCCAAAAAAAACACAAGCTTAGTCGGGTACCTGGAGGATGAAGCGGGTGTACGGTTCGATGACCTTCCTCATGGCATAGAACCGCAGAGAGATTCCCCCACGTACCCACAAAGGGGCGTGCCCGAGAACATCTGTCCTAGCATTCTTCCTGGTAACGGACGTTGAAGCCAACTTGCATGTGCATCGTGAGGAAGATGGAAAGCAGAATGTGATGGACTACCAGGCAGCACCAGCAGAAAAACAAAAGCTATGCACTGGAAGAATTGGGAAAGATCGCTGCGAGAAAGATGTGCCGTCAGAGACCCAGGCTAAGATCATCCGCCCCCTCGCATTCCCGATTGCTGTGCACAAATGCAAACGTTGGACGGTGGCGAAGGCCGGTAGGGAAATAACTGATCATCTGAAATACGGGGTTAGAGGAGAGCGCTGTGGATGTCCCAGACCACCAGGGAGCGGAACGGTGGGTCCCAGAGCAAATGAAGCCTGAAGCATCGCTGGAGGCAAACGTGACAAAGCTGAAGCTGGCGTATGCCGCAAGTCATGAGAAGGCAGGGCTCATGGGAAAAGACGACACTGCTGAGAAAAACAGGACGCAGCAGGGAAGGAGGAAGCCAAATCCAAGATGGACAGATGCCGCAGAAGACGCCTTAGGCCTGAGTCTGCGGGAGCCGAGCAGGGCCGCTGAGGACAGGACACTGCGGGCGTCACTCACTGACAGGGTTGCCAGGAGTCAGAGCCGACTCACGGCACAAACACACACAAGACGTACATGTAGCTGCAAAAATAGACCTCGGACATGTAGCACTGAGTGAAAAAAGTAAGACAATGAAATTCACAGCACAATGCCGTTGGTGTAAATTAAAACCACATTTGCACACAAAACAATAGTACATATTTTTTTAAAGATTTTATTTATTCATTTTTAGAGAGGGAAGGGAGGGAGAAAGAGAGGGAGAGAGAAACATCAATCTGTGGTTGTTGGGGGTCATGGCCTGCAACCCAGGCATGTACCCTGACTGGGAATCGAACCTACTACACTTTGGTTCACAGCCCGAGCTCAATCCACTGAGCTACGCCAGCCAGGGCAATAGTACATATTTTACAGAGCTGCATGGATTTTTAGGCAGATATATTCCACCATGGGAGTCTCTTTCGTGCTTGGAGGAGCAGGTGGGGGTGAATCTGAGGGATAAAAGGGGAAGAAAAATAGCAACGAAACCCGTCTGCAGAGGGACCTGGCACAGAGAGGTGACAGCGGTGGGCTGTGTTTCCAAGACTGTGTTTCACTCAGTTCTCTCTCGGGTTTCAAAAACGGCCCAGGCCCTGCAGTCCAGCAACCCTAGACTGAAAGCCCAGACAGGAAACAAGGGCTGAAGGCTCTGGCTCCTCGCACTGCCGGCAGGGCCTAGACTATATCCTGGGGTCAGACTGGGATGCCGAGCGAGCAGACCTCTGAGTACCCGTCGGGCTGCCCAGCTCAGAGTGGCCAGACCACGGCACGCCTGCCTCCATCGGCAGCACCCACCAGCTATCACCCCTTCTGTGTTAATTCCCCCAAGACCAGGCACTCACGGGCAACTGAAGGATCAAGTTGCAGTGAAAGGTCCCTTCCTTCCCAACACAGAGCTGAAGAGACTGGCCAGCACGGCCACTCCCACCCCCGGGCTGCAACGCAGCCACGTCCTCGGTGCCCCACTGCGGGTCTCCCGGGGCAGAGAAGGCCCAGGGAGCCGCAGGCATGACCGGCTCTTCCTCTTCCCTTGTAGATGACGACGAGCACGAGTGGATCACCCGGACGTGTCGGAAGAGCACAGAGGAGACCATGGGTCAGGAGCCCAAGCTGTGAGCTCTGCAGCCACCTCCACCAGAGGTTTCCCTCTGCCTCACGGCACTGGCTGGCCTTGGGGCAGGCTGTCGTCCAGAACCTGACCTTCGAGTCAGGAATAAAGGCTTTCTGCGGTCAGTAGCCCCAGGCGCACTTTCCTTAGACTGTTTCTTGGAGCGGGATCCTCATTTCACCTACCTCAGAATCACCTGGGCAAATCTGTGAACTAGATATCCCTGCCAATCCGAATCTCCGGGAATGGGGTCTAGCAATGCGCACTCCCACGTGTTCATTGGGCACCCAGAACACCACCTTAGATAACAGATACCTGCAGCTGAATGGGCGACGAGTGGGAGCAGGCAGGGTGCATGCATCATCTCTGCCCCTTGCGACAGCCTTGCAAGAGAGGGGATCTGAGGTTCAGAGAGATTGAGTGACTCGCCCCAGGTCGCAAAGCATTTGAATCCAAGTCTTTCCTGGGAACAGAGCCCGGATTTTCGTTACTACATTGAGTTGCCAGCCTGACCAGTCTTGGTCTCACGGGGCAGTAGAACGAGATGACTGTGCCCGCATTCGCAGCCGGTACGTCCAGGTAGGCCCCGGAATGATCACCCAAGGGCTGCCTCTCCCCCTTGGCGGCTGCCCCATTCGAGCCCCGTACCCTGAGCCCAGAATCACCGTGGTGCCAGAAGAACAAACGTAGCTTTGGCATCATACACACCTAGATTTAAATCCCAGCTCAGCCGTAGGTATTGTGTAACTTTGGGCAAGTCACTTACTTCCCTTCTCTGAGCCCGTTTCACCACCTGCGAAATGGGTATCACGAGGCTCAAATCAATAGGGTAGCTGTGTGGACTGGCACTTAGCAGGTGTTCAATATGTGTCTGCTTTAAAGAATAATTTGTTGGCTGTGCATAGAGGAAGCATCCCTCAAAATCAGCCCTCCAGATCACATGCCAGCTGAAAGCCAGAAGAGGAGGCTGTGACATGTTCTGGGGCCACACCTGGGCCACAAGCATCCTGGGTCTTTGTGTAACTGTCCCCTCTTTAGAGGCTACTGGATCTTGCAGCCACCCCCTCCAACCCCCCCAGCCCCTGACTGTGCCGTGTCCCCTGGATCACCAAAAGCTGCTCAGGCGAGTGAGTCAGGCCTGGGAGGGCTCTGCCAAGGTCTGAGGAGCCAGGGAACGAGCCTCAAACCGGGCAGCCAGAGGTGGCATGCTGGGGCAGAACGGGAGTCAGAGGGAGGCCTGGGCCCCCTTGGCTGCACCACGGAGGAGTCCTGGGGGTCTCCTCTCCCCTCTGAGGCAACAGTCACCTCAGTGGAATGACAGGGGTGAGTCCCACTGGGGGTTTCCAAGCTGGGTTTTGAAAACACAAGGTACATTCATTCATACAAACACACACACACACAAAACTAAAACTAAACTATTTTCAAAGACACGCATAGATCTAAATTGACACTGGATAAATGGATTGGAAAGTGGGTGGGGAAGGGGCAGAGATGGGGTTAGGGACGGGGGTGCAACGACTAATAAGGAAAGGGGCCCTGCAGGGGTGAGGACCATAGAGGGTGCTGGGAAGCCTCGGCACCAGACGGCCACACCCCTCCCCTCTTCCTGAGCGTTGGCGTGAGCAAACCGTTCTGCTGCTCCAAAAGGGAGGAGGGGAGGGAGGGGGGAGGAAGGGGGGAGGAAAGGAGGAAGGAGAGAAGAGAAGAGAAAAGAGAAGAGAAGAGAAGAGAAGAGAAGAGAAGAGAAGAGAAGAGAAGAGGAAAAAAAGAAAAAGAAGAAAAAGAAAAAAACTGGCAGCCGGCAGAAAGGTGTTCTCTCTCACTCCCCACACTACCTGGTGGTTCTGAAGGCCAGCGTGAGACCCAGACTTGGGCCGAAGTTCAAGCCTTGACTCCTATTGTATCAGCATATCAAATTCTCCTCCCTCTTCCAAGCAGGTTCCTCTGAGCCGCCCTCCCTGCCTGCCCAACACCTCCTCTTTTGCAGCTGTTCTGTGAACTTTTGCTCTGATAAGATCCAGCCCAAATGCTGCACCATGTCAGTGGGATCATCTGTTTGCAGCCTTGGCCAGACCGAGGGCTCCTCCAGGCAGCATCAGCCGGGCTCGGGCTCGTCCTGCAGAGCCAGCCCAGGGCCCAGCAGACAGGCCGTGTTCAGAGGCAGACAGAGGACAGCAGCCAGATCCCCTACAAAGCTCAGATTAGCGAAGAAACCCACCATCACGGCTTTCTGAGGTTCTGTTCACTAGCCGGGAAACAGCACCTGCTTCTCCAGGAAGGGGACAGCGCTGGGCTTCAGGGGCCTGCGCCCCTGACCAGAGAGCAGGAAAGAAATGGAACCCCATCGCAGTCTGGATTTAAGTGCCAGCACTTCTACTTGCATTAACTTTATTTATTACACAAATAAGACATTTACAAAGCACAACATGAAAGGTATGTAACAAAACAGACATTGGTTTTACAAAAAAGTGCTTACAATTTTTTTCCGTGTGTGTGAGTGTGTGTGTGTTCCCCTTTTGTGTTGTATTTAAATAAATAGTCTTGATGCCTGTACATTCCCAGGCTGCTCTAACAGGCTAGTGGAGACATGTCTGAACTGCAACATGCTACGACCACGTGATCCACGCAAGGGACAGACCCTGGGGGGAGGCTCAAGGCAGAGCGGGTGCTGGGTGACCCTGGGTAGGGCTCTACTGACCGCTGACTACATGGTTGCTTTGGGGGCCTCAGGAGCAAAAATCAGAGGAAAATTAGAGTTCCCCAAGGCCAGGGATCAGGCCTGAACTGCGCCTGCTACCATCAGCCCCCAGCACAGGGCCGGTACCTGCTGTTCACAGGATGGGTTCTGAACAGAGCTGTACTGACCGCATTCTGAGGAGCGCCTTCTCTTTGCCCTGAGTCAGCTGGAACCATCTTCAGAAGGGAAAGGAAGCAGGACCCCTCCTTGAGCTGCACCCATGCCTCACCTTTCTGCAGGTGCCAGAGCAAGAATGACCCATGGGCTCTCATGTTAAGTGCCAACTTCAAGCATCTGAACTCTGAAACCTTATCTAGACTCGGTAGGAGAGAGTGCTGTGATTGATTAGCAATGTCTGCCATGGGTAAAAACAGAGACAGTCGGCACACACGTGCCGTGGACTTGCTTTCCCCGTCCTAGAGTCTCCTTCCAAAGGCCACGTATCGGGTTCACCAGAGCACGGAGGAGGACCTGGGCTAAAACATGCTGACTAGCAGCCTCTAGTGGGAAGTGCATCAGGACACCAAGTACTTGTAGCATCACAGGGTAAACTTGGGACACAGGGGCGTCCCCTGAAAACATACGTCATGGTCTCATGTAGCCCAAGCCCTTTTGTTTGGGGTTGAAGAGCTGCAGCAGGACAGGGCGCGGTAAGCACAGATGTGTCTGGCCTCCGTTCTCAGGAGTGGGGGAAGGGGGAGCCCGGAGGTGCCAGCTGGAATCTTGGGCTTGGCACGCCCACCTAGCAGTGGGCACCTTCTCTCTACTCAGACGTGGGCCTAGAATTAACACCCTGACTGCCATTTCCCTGGGCTCTACTCCCCAGCCCCCCATGAGAGGTCCCCCTAAAAGAGGTGTGGCCTAGGCACCCCTACCAGGAGCCAACAAGCGGCCCCCAAGGGCTCCCAATTCTAACCTGCCCAAGCACCCGGGAACACCACCACGTAGTGTGAACACCATCTCTGCCATGTCGTCTGTGCACATCTGTACTGCAGAGCTAGGAAGGGGGAAGGTCTCCCACAGACACCCCGAGTTTGTTCTTTCCTCTCCCAGCCAAATGTGCCACATTCTTCTCCTTGAGCTCCAAACCAGTGTGGGCCTTTGTCCCTCCAGCCCCTGCCTGTCCACCCACTCCCGCCCTGGGCAGGCCTCCATCCTGCCCTGCTGGGCCTCTCAGGGTTGGTCAGTGTCTCTCCTCCCTCTGACTTAACTTGACATAACCAGACAGATGGAAATGATAAAATTAGAACACAGCTTTCCTTGGGGGACATCCCACAGACACTGTAGAGTTTTCCAGACAAAAGCAACAGAGCGGATAACACTGGGGCCTGTCGGCTTCCAGAAGTCGGCGGTGGTTCCAAGGGGGGAGTGAGCGAAGGCCAACGTGGAGGAAAGGAAGCCTGGAAATGAGAAGGCTGTCGGCGTTGCACAATTCAGTTCGTCGAAGAAGAGTCCTGTCTACAAGGGAAAGCTGGGCTGTTGTTCTCGCCCCGATTCCAAACTTCAGGGCACGCTGCCTTCCAAGAGGAGGACTCTGCGGTGCTCCTGGCGGGTTCTGGTTCTCAGCAGGAGAGGGGACAGCCAGGCGCAGGGGCCCAGCTGGTGGCGGGCGGGATGGCAGATGAGGGGTGGACACGGAGGTGGGCGGATCCCTGGCAGCGCGCGCTCGGACACGGCATTTCAGCGGTTGAGGGGCAGCTGTGGGGCGCCCGTGGACAGATGCGCGAGTGCCGGAAGCGTCAGTACTGAAAAAGGATGACCTGCAGAGGGAGGGGTGGGAGGGGGCTGAGCTGGAGGTCTGCCCGCCTCAGCAGCTCGCCAGGGGTCCTTCAAGGCATGGAGAATGTGGATGTCTCAGGGCCCAGATCTGGGTGCAAATCCTGGCTCTGGCACTTACTTGCTGTGGGACTTGGGGCAACTCACTTCACCTCTCTGAGCCTGTTTCCTCATCTGTAAAATGGGAATGACAAGACCTCTCTCTCAGAATGGGGAGGATTCGGTGAGATACGAGAGCAGCGGCAACTGTCTGCTGGGCACCGCGCCCTGCCCGGCGCTGCGGGAAGAGTCTGACCTGTGTTATTTCATCGCAACCCTTCAAGGGTGTCCCCCATCATCTCCACATTACAGGGGAGGGCTCAGAGAGGTAGAAACCAGAGAGCCCGCGGTCACACACACACAGCCAGGAAGAGGTGGACCCGGGGCTGCAGCCCAGGCCTGGCTCCAGAGCGAGCTCTCCTTATATAACATGCTGCCTCTTCCTCTCCAGGGCCACCATGCCAGCGGTCATCAGGCTTATGACACCAGGCCACCGGCCAAGCACCTCATGCGCACTTAGTCTCCACAAAGCCCAGAGGCAGGTGGCTTAGACATGCCAGACGCCTGAACGCAGTGAGCGATCTGGGACTGTCTGCCCCGTCCCTCTCCTCTCCCACCTAAGCCACCCGGCTGACCTCTCACGCCACTGACACGGCCAGCTCCCTGAAGTTCAAGTCAAGGATCACTGGCTGGCTGGTGAATGGCATGTCACAGTACAGTGTCATGTGGAGGTCTTAAGGGGTCCCAGCCATCAAGTGGGTACGGCCATATGGCCGTTCCATTTTCTGACCAGAAGGCCACTGGCCCAGATCTGTTCCCATGAAGAGGAGACGGAGGGAAGCAGGGGGGACGGCCTCTGTAGGGGTGAGCACACCACTAACCACCATCTATGGCTACTTCCTGTGAACCGGGCACTGTGCTGGCTTCTTTACACACACTACCGCGTTTGCTTTCAGCGACACGCTTGGGTGGTGGGATGTATTATTATCCCCCCTTTTGGCTGCAGGAACTGAGGCTCAGAGAAGATGACCGTGCTCCCAGGTCTCAGAGTGAGAAGTGGCAGAGCTGGGACTCGGGTCTGCCTGGCTCACCGACACGGCACCACCTCACCCACTCACCCGGCCTCGGGCAGCGCCCTCCTCTGGCCTCCGGATGCCTGGCCTCGGGCTCTCTGGTAAGACCGCTCCCCTCTGTGGGCCTCAGTCTCTGCATCTGATCAAGGACGGCTGGGCCCTGGTTTCTAAGCACCTTCTAAGCTCCAAAACTGTGGGATCAGGGGCCATGACCAGGAAGAAATGCGGTTCTGCAAATGCGCAGGGGTGTGTGGCCAAAGGATGATGTGGTCGGGGAAGAGGGTGCTATTCCCCAGAGCTCAGAGCCCGTTCTCCTGGCCAGGCCAGCACTGGGCCTAATGAGTGGGCTTAGGGGTCTACCCAGGGAACACTGAGTCTCCTTACACCTAGGCCGGCACAGGCCTGGAGAGACTTGGGAGAGAGCCCATACAGGTCTGTACTGACTGACCACACATAGCCCACCGGGCCGCAGAGGTCTGTCAAGATGTGGACAGAAAAGATCCCCGGGAGCGAGAAAGATCGTGAAGGAGGAGGAGACATTTTTCTGCAGGGCTGCTGGATGTGAAGTCGGGGACGCAGCCCAGAAAGAGAGAACTCTGGCTCAACAGCCAAACCCAGGGGCCAGGAACCTTCTACAGCCAAAGCTGCCAGACCCCAGGCTGGCTCATCTTTCAGGCTGAACTAGACATAACCACAAGCTTAGCTGAACCACCAGGAGGCCAGGGCTCGTCTCCAAGCTCTGAGCCTGGCCCTAAATCCTTCCAAGGCTAACCCGCCTCCAGATAACACCCAAGCCCCGAACCCAGTGGTCCAGGCCCCTCATTATGAGACCCCTGTCCAGCTCCCTGGGCCTTAACCATACTAATGCCCTTATCCTCTTCCCCTGCTTCTCCCCTAGAACTTTCACTCCCTCTTCCAGGTCCTTGAAGACCATGTTCATCCCTCACCTCAAGTGCCCTGTCACTCGAGGCACAGCTACCCGCCTCCTGCTCTAAACCACACACTCCCTGAGGACAGGGGTGGGGCCAGCGGGCCTCTGCAGTCCCCATACCAGGTCTGACGGGTTGAAGGCACCCCTGCAGGAGGGGGACAGCTCCAAGGCAGGCAGTGCTAGGATGGAGGCCAGTCCTACCCACACCCTCTGCGTGCCCAAGACGAGCTACTGCTCAGTCTGAGTGAGCCCCGGTGTCTGCAGGTGTGAAATGGAGCCAACTGTAACCATGCCCCCGGGGAGGCCGGGGAGGCCGGGGAGGCCGAGGCCAGAGAGAGCACTGCGTAAACTGTCAAGGGCCACATCAAAAGACGTGGTTGCCAATCTAGGCAGACTCCGGAGTCCGACAGACCCCCCTGGACAAGTGGTCACCTATCTGAGCCAGGAAGTGGCTAGCAGGCTTCAGACAATGCATGTAAAGTGTCTGCTGTGTACGGCGGAGCCACTCAACAAACAACAGCTCTTCCTGTGAGCCTGGCAGTCTGAGGGGACATTTCTGGGACACGCTCACTCACCTCCTGGTGCTGCGGGGCTCGCCTTGAGCACTACCAGTCACTTGTAAACATATCTGCCCAACCAGGTTGTCTGTATCTCCATACCACCTTCCCCCATGGTGCCCAGCAGCAAGCCCAGCACACAGTAGGTGCTCAGTCAGGAGGCAGAGTAAGAGGAACTGTCCTGGAGGTGCGGTCCTCACCTCTGCTGCCTGCCAGTGTCACATGGGCTGGGTATCACACTAGCAGATCCCTAGTCCCCACCCCAGACCTCTTCAGCGGCTCTCTAGGGACCTAGGCTGGGGAATCCGCACCTTTACAAACTACACAGGTGATTCTGAAAATCACACCGACATCAACCACAGTCTCCCGGACTCAAGGCCCTTGGGTCCTTCCAGCTTGAAGGCCCTGGCCCCTGGCCCCTCTCTAACACTCAGATTCCCAGTGCTCCCTGCCTCTTTGAGGACCAGTACGGTGATGTTTCTGACAGGCCTGCAGGGACACCCCACTGCCTGAGACAAAGTCCATACTCCCACACCTGGCAGCCCAAGGCCCCCGCCCCTCACTGTTCTTCCTCCCAAGCCTGTGTGCCAGCAGCACTGAACTGCTCAGTGGTCCCAGAGAGAGCCTCTTATGCCTTCCCTCATGAACTCTGATTCAGCCGCCAGGCCTGGGCTCAGATGTTGCCTTCCTCCAGGAAGTCTTCCTTGTGTCTCTCCGGAGCTGTGCCCCCACCCTCCACTCCCCAGCTCCCTGGGCTCCCCCATCACAGTTCGATCATAGTGTTGGGGTGTGTCTCCCCCTCCAGACTGTGGCCTCCTCAAGGGCAGGGACCATACTTCCTCATCCCTGTGCTCCTGGCAACTGGCTCGGAGCTCCTGGACACAGTCAGCACAGAGCAGATGCCAGCTGAATAAATGAGTAAGTGAATGAGTCAAAGCCTAGGTTATTGTCCAGGCTCTGGGACCTTGAGCTACCTGGGCCTCGATTTCCCACTTGCTAAAATGGGGGGTGTCTTAGAGCAGTGGCTTTCAGGCTCAGTGGGAGGTGTCTTGGAGCTGAGAGGGGGGTGGGAGGGGAAACTCCCTCTGCAGTTTCACCCAGAGCAGCCCCACCCACTTTCATCACCTTATGGGTTATGAAGAAGATTTAAGAAGGTTTCCAGGGCTCAAGAACAACACTTTCAATCCACTGGCCTGGGTGATGTCTAAGCACCTTTCTGGATGTGCAGTCCTAATGCTGAAGACAACCAGAGGCCGGGAATGTGCAAAGGACACCTTGCCAGGTGACCAAGGTCACTTGCTGACCTGCTAGCCCCGGGCCCCACAGGCTCGGGGCATTCACTCCTAACATACAGGAGTAAACAGGAGAGAGTAGAAGGAACCAGGGAGATGGTAGGTGGCAGGGTGGCGTGTGATATGAGCCCTCTCTGGAACCACAGAGTTTGAGCAAAGTAAATTCCAAAATCTGAAAAAGAGGCCAGCCAAGGAGGCCTTTGGAGTGGCCGTGCACAGAGACCACACGGGCACCTGCTCGAGTGAGTGCCTCAAGGACACAGTGGGGCCCGAGCGTGCTGGGCAGAGGCGTGCTGCCCTCTCAGCGACGAGGAGCGCTGCTAGAACCCACGCCCGCAGGATGGCTGTGACCCACCAGACCCAGCCTGGCTCCATTTACCTTCTCACCCCGGCTGGAGAGTGGCCCATCCATATCGGCTTTGAGGTGGACGGGGGGTGCGGTGTAAGGCAGCCGGCAGTGCACCTGCCCGCACTGTACCTGACCTGCGGACGAGAGGATGCTTTGGAGCCCACACCCACCCTCCACGCAGGATCCCACCTGCCCTGTGCTCGGCAGGCTGGAGCCCTGGGACCACGGTCACCTCTGCTCATTACCAGCTGATTGGCCCTGGGCAAACTTTCAAGAGGGCTGGTTGCAATGCTCTATGAGAAAGACTTTATAACCAATAAAGTTCTCTATGATAACTGTCCGGCTGGGTGATATGCAAGCACTCATAAATGAGTATGCATTGAATACCTCCTACATGCTAGGCTGTACCTCATCTATTAGGATCCTCCCTTGGTGTCTTGCACCTTATCTCTCAGGTGTCAGCAAGGCCTCCCCTCATACCTCCTAGACGACTCTGCACTCAAATGCCACCTTCTTCATGATGCTCTCCCAATCACTCTATTTGCAGTTGCAACCCAACCCCAGCACCCACCCCCAAACTCCTTGTCTTCACCAACTAGAATGCAAGTTTCAATGAGGGTAGGAATTTTTGTCTGTTTTCTACATTCTAGATCTTGGTGAATTTCCAGTACCTAAAATGTGACATGGCATCTATTGGATACTTCTTAAATATTTGTTAAATAAATCTCGGTACCCTATTCTAACATCTAAAACTGGGCCGGGGGGGGGGGCGGGGTCTATCCTTGTGTCTGACCCAAGGCTCTCATGTTCCAGCCTCTTTACCACTACAGTAGAGAAGTCCCTGACTTCCTCTTCCTTGCACTTCGCCCACTTTGGTTACAAAAAAAGAGCCCTGTACAGAGACTTACAGCTGATAAGTAACTTGGGACAAGTCACTGTGCCTTTCTGAGCCACAGTTCCTTCATCTGTGGAATAAAGCGGTTGTATGAGATTGGGGATTCTTAACCTGAAGCGTTCTCGGTGTCCACGAATGGCCTGAGATGACACGGAAAGTATGTGTGTATGTCCATTTTTCTGGGGTCTGGTTCCAAAGCTTTTTTCGGATTGCAAGCTCTGAGGCTCCAGGAAACTCAGAATCCTGTGAGCTTGGTTAACTGCAGAGCAAGCTGCCCAGGTGAGCGTCAGTCATGTAGCCAGAGGACTGACAGCGCCTGCCCTAGCCTGGGTTCCACCTCAAGGTGAACGGAAAAGCACCCCTCAGCCCCTTTTCTGGGCATCAAAGACGTACCTAGGCTTGGACAACAAAGTACAAGCGCAGAGTCCTCGCATGACTCTGGAGGCCATGGCCCCACTCCCAAAGGAGTCACTTAGACCCACTACCAACTCCACAGCAAAAGCCAGCTCGTAGCCCACACGCCTGATACCTGGAGAGCCCCTGGTGCTTGGCGCCTTTAACAGATGAACTAGATTTCCTATGGGCTCTCTGCAGCCAAATAAGTCATTGTTTTTAAAAGGGGGGGGGCAGTCCCTCCTACTGAGCAGATGGTTCAGAAATGCAGCAGCACAGAGAGAGCGTTCCCACTCGCAGCCCAGTGCGGTGGGCAGGACGCTGCACTCCCAGCTCTGCCAGCCAGAACCGCCGCCGTCGCAGAGCAGCTAAGACTTACCCAGCACTTACTAGGTCTTCAAATTCTGAAGACTTTAAGTCAACGACCTCATTTAATGCTCACCACACTGCTTTGAGATCGGTATTCTTACTGTCTTCATTTTTACAGATGAGGAAACTGGTATTCAGGGAAGCTAAGGAGCTTGCCCGATGTCACATAGCCAGGATGGGGCAGGGATGGGATTTTAGGACGGATGGTGTGACATCAAAGCCCACACTCAGTTACTAAAGAATACTGGCTCCCACTACCTCACTGTGGACCCTTGGTTTCCTCATTGGTATAATGGGACAGTGATCTCTGATGTTTAGAAACATGGTGTCCGGCACATTGGCAGCGGCTCAGTAATCAGCAGTGTCTCTCTGACCTCTTCCTTTCACTAGAGCTACAGAAGGAAGGATTTGTGTTTGCGAGTATATTTTAGCCACTTCTATTTTTCTGGTTGTGCCCTGCTTTGGGGAAGCAATCAGTGCAAACACCCTTGAAGGGAAAGAAAATGTGTGATAAGCAACCTGCTCCATAGCAGATTCACTGATGTTCATCCCCCAGAAATGTACAAGGCTACTTACTCCCTCCCTCCTCCAGGTTCCTGGCCCAAGTGCACTCCTCCAGGGCCACCCTCCATCTCCCCACAGTGCTCAGTGCCCACCGATGTGCCTGCCCTGTGTTAGTTTATTGTGTCTCTGCCCATGTCCCACTCTGGAATGTGAGCCCCAGGAGCACACAGGCTCTGGTCTGTTGCGTTCTACATTGTATCCTAGTGCTTAGGACACGGAAGGCACTCCAAAAATAATTGCTGATGTGAGTGGATTTGCACTGCCCTGGGAGGTAAGCGTTACTAATGCCCCAGTTTACAGACAAGGAATCTGAGGTTCAAGGAGGTCAGGTGATTTGCCCATGGCCTCGCAGCCCTGAGTATTTCCACCACACTGGCCTTTTTCTGCAGCCCCAAGTGCACCCAATACCGTCATGCTCCCTGTGGCAGGTGGTAGATCTGCCTACACTCAGTTCCGTGGACACTCTGTGCACCTATTTCCCCACTCCTTGCCTCTCACTCATCCTGCCCATCATTCCAGTCTCAGCCTGCTGAGAGGTGGCATCTCCACCCTCCATGCAGCAGTTTTTCTATAGGAATCATCACATTAAAATACATGCTAATCTGTCCGGTTATTGTTCCATGTTGTCTCTCCCACCAGAATGCAAACTACACCAGAGCAACCTTGTCCTCTCCCTAGACCCTGGTGCCCTGGCAGAATGAATGCTTGGAAAGTACTTTTTGAATGGCTGAATGGCTTACTTTTCCCGAAGCAGAACCAGGTAACATAATCCCTCCTCCCACCGCCTACGTCTGAGTGACTGTGAAACCCACATCTTCACCCACGAGGCTCCGAAAGGCCTCCCCACACCTCTGCCGCCCACACGCGCTCCTCTCCCAGGCCAAGGGGCCTGGATGTCGCAGTCACTTACTCTCAATGTAGCCGTGCAGGGTGACCATGCGCGCCCGCTCAGGGCTGCTGAATGGGGAGTAGTGGATGTCGTCGGATAGGGATGAAGGGAGGCGGGACGGCGGCGCCCCGGAGGGCGGCACAGGATGCTGTGGTGTGTGTTTTTTATGACGCGCCCGGCAGTTTTGAAACCACACCTGGAACGACAGCCTCAGCAGCCTCAGCCTCACAGAAAAGGGTCGGACGCGCTACCGGGGGACCCCAGACGGAACTCCCTCTCGCCTCCTGAAGAAAGCGGCCACGTGCGCCCAAGACCGCGGCTCCGCTGCCCCTCTTAGCGCTTGAGGGCTCATCCCCAAATCCCTAGTCCCGGCCCCAGATCAGAAGGCGCCGCCCTCCCCCGGCCCCACCTGGATGACCCTCCGGCTGAGGCCCGTCATGTCCGCAAGCTTCTGCAGCGTCTGCGCGTCGGGGTTGTTGTCCTGCGCGAACTGCGCCTGCATAACCTGCAGAGCAAGGGGGCGAAGGGGCGGGGGCGAATAGGCACAAGCTCTTGGAGGTCGCCAGGACCCTGGCCCAATCAGAGGCTCCGGCCTGAAGGCCACGCCCCAGGCAGCTATAGCCCCGCCTCTTCACTCTCCTCGGGTCCGGGAGAGGCGGGGCCAGGAGGCCCTCTCAGCCCCTCCCACACCAACTCCCCGCCCACACCTGGCCACTAGCGGCCTTCCCCGGTACCTGCAACTGCTCTGCTGTGAAGGATGTCCGCGCGCGCTTGGCCGGCTTGGGTTGACTGTCCTGCTCCGAGGGCACTGCCCCCTCCAGCGTGAGGCCGTTCCCTGGGGGCGACAGAAGTGGCTGATCTCGCGTCCACACCTCTTCTAATGGCAGCCTGGAAAGGACGGGGGTGGGGGGAACTGGTCCCTGGAAGGGTCAGGAGCTGAATTGGCTGGGGGCAGGGACCCCAGGGTCCTATTCCCTCGAGTTCAGTCCTTGGGGAAGGGGCCTTTGATTTCTGAGCGTCTGCTTAGTATCAGACGCTTCTCTTTCGGTGTGCCGTTTATGTCTCACAGCCCTGAGAATGGGCAGCATTATCCTCACTTTAAGGCGGAAGCAACTGAGGCTCAGAAAGAAGAAAGCCGCTGCCCAGACCTTTCATAGTATACTGACAGCTGGCTGACTCCAGGGGATGCAAATGGGAATCTAGCAGGTTACAGAACTGTGATCCTAATTTTGTAAAAACTGATGAAAGCAAAAAAGTTGGAAGGATAAAAAATTTTTTTGAAAGATGGAAGCCCAAAGGTTGGAAGGTGCAAGGAGTGTGATTGTGGAGATTCTACTTTCAATATTTCTCCAACTTTGGAGGTTTTTACAATCATATGTCACCTCAATTCTCTAAGGTTTAATTTTTTAGGTATTCTCTTTCCACTTACATTACTTTTACAATCACACTAATATACTCCCATTTTACTTTTAATATCTCATTTTTCAGAATACAAAGGCAATAAATACATGTTCCTTATCAAAATCTCAGAAAATTCAGATAAGCACAAAAAAGAAAATTAAAATCACTAGCAATTACACCACTGTTCAAAATTTATTGTATTTTTAGCCCTGGCTGGTGTAGCTCAGTGGATTGAGCACAGGCTGGAACCAAAGAGTCACCAGTTCGATTCCCAGTCAGGACACATGCCTGGGTTGTGGGCCAGGTTCCCAGTGGGATCCACGTGAGAGGCAACCCCACACTGAAGTTTCCTTCTCTTTCTCTCCCTTCCCCTCTCTCTAAATAAATAAATAAAATCTTTTAAAAAAACAAATTTTATTTTTTTAAATTAGGAAAAATACTACATTGAGGAAAGAACAAAACAAACATTCCAACATATATACATAGGAAAAAAAATCTGGGAACACATGCACTAAAATATAAGCAGTTGTGGCGTTTGGAGTGATTTTTATTTTCTTTTTGCTTAACCATCTTTTCTACAATAGATATGTGTCTGTGTTTAAGTTTAAAAAGTGAAACAGAATCCAAAACTGGGGGCTGGTCAGTAAAGAAGTTCCAAGGTCCCAAGCCTTCCAGCTCCCCTGCGTGGTAGGAGTCTGGGGCGGGGCCTGGCTGGGAGAGCAGGAGTGTGTAACTGGCAAGGCTGTGACCAGGAGAGGTCCTGGTTGGTCCAGGTGTGGGAGGAGCCTGGGGTCACTGATGGGCCATGGTGTGGGGAAACCTCTGACTCCCTGGACTCCATCCTGGCTCCACTGCTAACTTGTCCTCCACCACTGCAGGTGGACATGGTACCCCAGCTTCGCTTGCTCCCCACCTAGGCCCCCTTAGTCCCAATCCTGGCAGGAGAAAGTGATGACTGTGGCCAGGAACACTCTGGAACACCCTAACTAGTCTCCAAGCTGGAAACTGAGTCAGGGTGACCCATATCCCTCCCCAGAGGCACTGTGGATGAGACAGACATTTTGTGGTATTAATGTCTTCTAGGACAGCGGTCTCCAGTATTTTTGGCAGCAGGGACCAATTTCATGGAAGACAATTTTCCACGGACTAGGGTGGGGGTGGTGTCAGTTTCGGGATGATTCAAGCAAATTACATTCAAGCTCACCTCCTGCTGTGCAGCCAGGTTCCTAACAGGCCCGGACCTGTATTGGTCCACGGCCCAGAGGTTGGGGACACTTGTCCTAGGAGAACAGGCAGGACAAGGATTGCTGTGCCTGTTATTCAATAGAGACATGAAACTCATAGAGGGAGCCACATCCCAACAGCCTTCCCTGCTCGGTGAGGCCTGATGAAAGGGCCTTGGAGCTCGGCAATGGGGCGGTATGGTATGGTGGTAAAGAACCTGGGTTTTGGAGTCAGGCAGACGTGCGGGCTACGTAACGGTTGGCAAGTCACATGCTGCAGATAACCTCTGCCTGTTTCCTCACCTGTAAAATGGGGGACACACCAGCTACTTCTTAGGGTTGTTGTAAGGATTATGTAGAATAATCATGGCACAGAGAAGTGAGCAGCTTCCACAGACCCAGACAGGGGAATTGTGGAAAGGGTCTCTGCCTCTGCCTACAGCCCAGCTTCTGCTCCCCATTTCTAGCCCCCAACCCACCTGTAACTCAGTCACCACAATCCCTGGAAGACCTGGCCCCTGGCCCTGGACCCATGTGTCTTGGGGATTCACAGTGTCAGAACTCTAAGAGATTTAGGGATCTTTCTAGTCCACCATCCATCTTGCAGATGGGGAGACAGAGGCCCAGATAGAAAGGGACCTTCACACGTCAGAATTGCACGCCAGAAGCAAAACCAGAGCTCCTGTCTCCGTTCTCCAGAGCCTTTCTCCTTACAGTGTATGAAAGCTCCACCCCTCTGGCTTAGAGCTACTGGCGTGGGAGTCAAGAGAACAGCGTTGGTCACTTCTTCATGACAGCTATAGGGAAGGAGCCCTGGGGCCAACCAGTGCAGTCTAGAGGTGGAGTAGGCTGCCCCATTATGAGAACCACCTTGAGCATTCACTGGCTGCCTCCTGGCTATACAACACTTCGGCTCATCTTTTTTTGAGAAGAGATCCTACCTAAGCCCCATTTTACAGATGAGAAAATACAGTTGCAGGGACAGGCAGTGCCTTCCAACTCCCGAGCAAATGGTGGAGCCAGAAGTCTGGGCTCCGTGTGCAGCCTCCGAGCCCCAAGGTGAACACCAGTCTCTAGAGGAGGGTGGGCAGTACCTGGGGTGCTAGGGTGGGGGAATGCTGAGGGTAGAGGTGTGGCCAGGTGCTAGGCGGGGCAGGTTGGGTACCGTTCTCTGCGGCCCTCTTGAGATTCTCGATCATGGTGTCGTAGTGGATTCGGCACAGCACCTTCTCCTCAACCAGGCCAAATTCCTCGCCCGTGGACAGCTGCCGCTTGCACGAGAAGCAGGCGAAGCAGGCCAGATGGTAGGCGTTGCCGCGAGCCCGCCGCACCCAGTCGCTGGCGTAGATCTGTCGGCCACACCGTGCGCACTTGGTCCCAAATCGGCTGTGGGACACCGGGGCGGGGAAGGGGATGGCTCAAGACAGGCCCCCTCCCTCCCTCCAAATCCCAGTAGCCTGCCTGTCCCCAGGCTTCTGGCCTCAGGGCTGTCACTTGCTAAGGAATTTCCCTATGCCTGGATCCAGCACCCCCCACTCCCAGAGAGAAGTCACACCTAGAACTGTGAGCTGGTGGGTGGGTTTTATTTTCTTCTTGCTGTTTTTCTGAGTTTTCCAAATTTTCTACAGTGATCATTTGCATTTGTATATAACATTAACCTGTTCACTAAAATATAAGTGTTAGGGAAATATAATAATAGTAATAATAATAGGCAAATATTGGAGAATTTACCACGTGCCCAGCAAGATTCTACGCATTTTAGATTGAGGATGTCTGGTCATCGTCCTTTTTCAGAGAAGGAAAAAGGGAGTTAAGTTCCTTGCACAAGGTCTCGCAGCTCGCAAGGAAAGGAACCCGAGATGAAAAACCCGCACCCCAGCGACAGAGAAGCTCCGAGTGTCTCGGGAGCCCAGGCGGATATGCACTCCCGGCTTGATGACTCTGGGCAAACTGTTTAGCCCCAAGTTCTCGTTCTCCTTGCCCTGAGCCGAACTGGATGGCAACAGCAATGGCACCACTGTTTGTTCGGTGCTTTGCTGTCTATTAAGTACCCAGCTAGTCCCAGACTAAAGCCCTGTGGCATTTTAACAGTAAATGTTAAGAAGACCGAAAAGCCCAGACCAAGTGTCCTCTTCCCCCTTAAGGCTTCCTTGAGGTTGCCTCTTTCCCGTCTCCCTCCCCCTTTACAGCCCGGCTTGTTTGGGTGCAGCTGCCTCCCCCACCAAACTGGGAGTCCTCAGATAGCAGCAGAGTCTGGTGCGCCCTGTGAGAAGTCACCCCAGGCCTGACCCTTGAGCACCAGGGAGAAAGGTTTGTTCTTTAAGTGGATGTGAGCCCGTCTGAACCCTCTGAGCCTGAGTCCTCTGGCGCACGCTCCATTTCAGGGACCGGTGCCACTGCTCCAGGGCTCAGGCTTAGCAACCCAAATCATACACTCCTCCCTCCCCTGACCCCACAACCAACCAATCATAAGGCACTGGCAGTTCTTTTCCTAAGTTTCTCCGGGACTCATTGCCTCCTGGGCCAGGCTCCCATCATGCACCCCTCTCTGCAAGTCTTAGCCCCGGTCTCCCCTGTTCCCAGGGCCAATCCATCCTCCACAGAGCGACCACAGCCAAGTTCCCAGCATGCATACTGAATCCTGTCCTGCCCTGCTTAAAATCTTTTGGTGGCTGCACTCTACCCTTGGGATCTGGTCCAAGACCCTCAGAGTTTACAAAGCCCAACAGACCACATCCTCTCAGGCTCATCTTCTCCTCCCTAACCCTTCCTCAAGAGCCTCCACCCCAAACCCAAGTTTGAGTCCCAGTCAGCCACAATGGAAGGTCATTGCCAGCTCTTCACGGCCCCTCTGAAGCACTTTCCCACCCCAGGCCTTCGCCTGGGCTGTTGCCTCTCGCCACGCCCTCACCCTCCAGGAAGAGGCCACAGCCCCCAGCACCACCCTCTCCGCACTGATCCCACAGAGCTGTCCACGACGTCTGGTTCCTCGGACCTCCCCTCCACCCCTGGCATTCCTGGGAGGGGACCAAGAAGCTGTGCCTCTGTGTCCCCAGGGCCAGGACACTCCCACCTGGAGGCGCATTCGGAAACTCGGTGAGGGTGCCGGGAAACCAGCCCAGAAAGTGCGTTCTGGTTACAACATCATCTACCTTGGCAAACGCAAGCAACTGTCAATTGAATGAAAGAGGGTCTTGGGTTGAACTGAGTGTGGGAGCGGAGAGGCCTCGGCCAGCCAGAGGCCCCCAATGTGACCCCAATGCTACTGACTCCCACCAGAAATTGTTAGCTCAGGCGCCGCTGCACCCCTTTGCGGGCCAAATCCTGCACACAGGCAGCTCCCTACCTCGGAAGCCCGGCTTCCCCAAGGGAGAGCCCAGCACAGCTGTGGTCTCTGTTCACAGTCCCTCAGTAGAGAGGACAAGGGCTCGTTTTGCCCATCCCGTCTACTTCTGCCGTGGGGTCGGTCTGGTGGTGACCGCATTGGGAGCCCTTCCTGGCCTCCCAGAGGAGGGGGCGGCCAGCCGGGTGCAGAGCCCTTGCTGAGGTCCGGGGTCCTGTGGTGCGAAGCCTTCACTGTAACCTCGGCTTCACCCAAGCGTGTGAAGTGGGGACTCTGGCACCCACTGTGCACACTGGAATCGGAGGTTCTGAAGGGGCCAGTGACTACTAGCTCAAGGCCATAAAGAGAGTGGAGCAGGGGTTGAAGTCGGTTTGGAGGTGCGAAAAGGATCCCAAATCTGCGGAAGCAGCTGGACTGGAGATGAGAAGATCTGGATCCCGGGTGGTGAGCGAGAAATGGGCCTGGAGTGACCCCCAGCATGTCCCCACTCCAGGCCGCGGGTCCTGGAAACTCCAGCGCATAGGGCCTGGAGGCCAGCGAGTTCAAGAAGGCGGGGAGTGCTTTCCCAGCGAGTGGGAAGAGCCAAGGAAGGGAAGGTCCTGCCTTTACAGGCCAGGCGAGAGCGACTTCGCCTTCCCTCCGTGGTCTCCGAGCACCTCTGCCGTTGCACAGAGCCAGTGTGGCATCCCGGGTCTTTGAGTTTGGCTGTGCGGGATTCCTAGTCCTCTGCCAGGGACGCATCCAAGACACCCCGCGCATCCCTGACTTTCCCGCTCCACGATGCCCGTGCGCGTTCTGCGCCTATGCTGGCTGCTCACAATGCCCCCCTCCCCTTGATCCCAGGTGGGCGCCACGAGTGACTTCTCAGCAACTTTCTCAACACTCCTCATGTCACCCCAAATTCCAGGAGCTACCCCCAGCTCTAGGACCTCCCCGCGCTCGCTCTGGCTCAGCTCAGTCAACGAAATCATCCTCGAGCTGGATCCTCGGATGGAAGTGGGGGTGGGGTCATTATGCAGTTTTGGATGCGGTGCGGGCCGTTCCTGGAGCGGGTCCTCCACTCACGGCAGGGATCAGTGGCACAAGCCAGGCAAACGAGTTGGCTTACTGACTGAGGCTCTGACAAAACGACAAACTCCTTTCCAGGCGGGCTGCAAGGCCCGAGCCGCCAGATCCGGAAGCAGCGAAATTGGCAGCGGAGAAAACGAAACTTCAGGAAAGGGGTGTTCGGGAGCCGTGGGGCTAGCGCCAAAGGGATTAGGGGGCGCGGCTACAGCCCCAGCCTCGCGCGCGCCCCTCCCTGGGTCCCGGCCCACGCCTCCAGGCAAACGCGCAAAGGAACGGCTGCGCTTTGGGGAAAGGAGAGGTGCCCGACGGACGCTGCCTACCGCAGCAACTGCTGAGAGGGGTTAGGGTCGGCATCAGGCAGCTCCTTGCCCTCTCCCCCCAGTAGGGAGCAGTGATAGCTGGGTGGTCGTGGTTGTGCGGCGGGAGCTGTGCGCCCCTGACCAAGTCAGGCTCACTCCCCGGGCCTACTTCCCCTGCATACCCAGCGGCGCTCAGTAATTATTTGGTGGGCGAATGAGTCTCAACGAAAGAGTCCCTCTGAGTTTCACCACGATCCCCTTCCCCATCATTAAGCTACCCCTTTTCTGAATAAGAAAACCGAAGCTCAGAGTGGGAAGGTCAGTGTCAATTACTAAGCTAACGAGCCAGGGTGCGGAAACTCAAACCAGGGTTCATTTATTCTCCGTTCAGGATGCTCCCTCGATGGCCTGAGATTCTATGAGGCGAACAGGGGGGCTTGTAGGTGGAGCCCTGCCTATCCCCGCTGTTCCTTCTCTTCTAGGCAATCTCTTAGGAGGAGAAGCCAATAAAAAAACAGAACCAGCAATTAAGGGGTTAAAAACGCCCTGAGCCTCAGAGATCCTGGCCCAAGGCCCCTCCCCCAAACTCCTTTCTCTGCTCCCCCAACCTCTGTCCCCCAACAGCTGTGGGCTGCTGGGCCACTCTCTGCTGTGGTGGGGGTGGCTTCCCAGCTCCGAGGCTCCCTGGGAACCCTTGCTCTGCAGGAGAGAGGGTGGGGTTCTCGCATGGCAGCTTGGGGTCTAGGCAGAAGACAGGAGAAGGCTGGGGTGCTTGCCCTAAGTCACCTGGGCCAGGGGACAGGAACTTCAGGGGGAAGCCCCAGTGGCCCAGCCCAGGGCACTCTCTTAAGTTTACCCCACCAACTCCAGGAGCCCCACTTAACCCTTTACTCCCCACTCCCATGGTCTGGAGGTAAGAGGCCCAGGGACCATGGGGACCTGATCCTGGCAAATTGATCCATTCGGGGCCCCTAAAGGAGGCTACTCGGGCCCCAGCGCTCCCAGAGCCCATCCAGGGAGTCTCACTTCAGAGTACCCAGTGGGTGCTCCCTGAGTTAAGCCAAACAAACGGGGCAAGGAATCTTAGGGCCAGCAAAGAGGGGTCTTTTGTCATTCCACCAACCCCACCTCCTGGAGAGGAGCTGCTGAGATATCCCCCCTATAGAAAGAAGTGTATTGAATGTTTAGACACAGGGATGGTGAAGCCAGGCAGCCCTGGGTCTTATCCAGGGTCTGCCACTTATCAACTGTGTGACCTCACCTCTGAGGGCCCAGTTTCCCCTCCTCTAATGTGGGGATCATGAGAGGGTCATGAGGACTCAGGGGGATAAAGCATGGAAAAAGTTAACCCAGTTCCTGACTTAGAGGTGAGCTCCGTTTTGGGGTCACCGGTGTGTGTCCTCACCCCGACCCAGCTCCTTTCCCACTCTCGCCCTCATTGTGGGACCCTGCACTCTTCACCTGCCACTCTCTCGGGACACCCGTTTCCCCAGTCGCACAAGGGCATGACGCTTCGGGAGGCCAGGGGACCCAGGAGAGCGTGGCAGGTCAGTCCACCAGTCCACCACCGTGTCGGGGCCGCAGCTGCAGGTCCGAGGACAGGAGGAAGCTGTCTTGGATTGTGGTTGCTATGAATGCCCCCGAGGGGAACACTGTTTATTTCCTCAGGACTTTACTTTTTCAAAGAAAATGGAGAGAAAAATGGTCTTTGCAAAAAGTAAAGAAATGAGAAACAATATCATATTTCCCTGGTGGCAACTTTTTTCTGCTAGGAGTGAGGGGAGTTGAGCTGTCCGGGTCTCGTTTGGAGGGACGTTTGGAGAAACCGAGGCAGAGAGGTTCAGCCACCCGCTGGCAGAGGCAGACAGCCACGTGGAACTGCAGCCCCTCCCAACAATGCGGAGGTGCCAGGAGCAGCACTGCACGTCCCTACTCTCCCCGCCCCCCCCCCCCCCACACACACTGCAGCTTCTTCTGGAGTCTTGGGAGTACCTTTCTAACTTCTGACTTCTGGCTCTGCCCAAGGAGACTGAAGGACAGCCTACAAGAAAGGGTGAGATGGGGGATGGACCCCAGAAGAAACCCTTCAGTGGCAGATAAGCCCCCAGTGCTCTCTCCCTCCATCCCGATGAAGACCTTGACTTCTCAGGGGCAGAGGGCTCCAGGCCATATCCCACCAGGCCCTTGACCCAGAGAAAAGAGAGCGAGAGAATGTCAGAACATGGTCCCTCCCTGAGCCCCAGCCCTTGCTTGAGAGGAGCACACTGCCTCCCATGCCGTCACCCAGGCTTTCTCCAGGATAGACCTCCCTTGCAACAGCCCGCAGAGCCTGGGCTGCTGCTCAGAGCCGGCAGAGTCGCTGCCTGGCACTCTGCCGGTTTTCCATTCCCTTTTTGTAGGTTTCATTATTTTTGTTACAGGTGGGGCTGCCAATGATGGGTCATGCCTGCGGGAAGACCTGGGCAGGGAGAGAGGATCAAAAGAGCCACAATTCTTCCCTCCTTCCAGGGAATGTGAGCTTTTCTTCCCTCCATTTTCTTAACCAAAATCTGTTTTAGTTTTGCTTTTGGGGCTCTTGTCACTGCAAAAGGATTAGCGCTCAGAACCTGCAGCCCAGAAATGGCACAGCCCCATCCCTCCAGGTGATCCCTGTTCCTCTGACTGCCTGAGAAAGTGACATCAAGGGATTGTAGCAGCATCCACCCTGCGACGGTGACAATGGTGATAATCAAGGCACCCATAGCACCTGCCATTTGGGGAGCTCAGAGACACAGCCCTGGAAGTAGGCCGCTGAGGGCAGAGAGAGGCAGCGATGTGCCCAAGGCCACACAGTGGTGCCGTGTTGTCCTGCTGGAACTCCGTCTCTGCCTCTCCCCAGCCAGCTGCACGTTCTATCCTCTCCACCCCACCGCAGTGGGCAGGGGCACTTCAGAGCCTGTGGGGGCTCTGAGCAGTGGGGTCAGGACCTGCGTTTTGACTCATCCCTGAAGGTCTAGTAAGCAAAGCATTTGAGGAGACTCGGTCCAGCCTGGGCATGAGCAGGGGCTGGAGAAGCAGCAAGGGAATGTGGGCAGGTGACTGGCAGGCAGGGCTGCCAGGTCTGTGGTCACCAGGAGAGCCAGGGTTGGGGTCCAGCCCAGCCTTCCTCTACAGGAGCAGGCTGAGATAGCCTGTTGCTGGGTTTCTCAAGCTGCAGCCCCATCTCTGGCTGGCTGATAAGCCAAGGAGCCCCCTAAACTGCAGCTAGCTTTCTTTTTTTTTTAACAACTGCAGTCAAGCCTTGAGCAAGGAGGTGGCCAGACAGGGACTCTAACCTCCATTTCCTGCCTTGGCCAATCGTCAGATAGAGCAGTGCAGAGAGACATCACACTCTGGCTAGGCACCACACAATGATAACCCTGCCCTGACACGCACAGCACAGCAGTCCACACCCACGAGTCCACACTCAGACCACACCCTTGAGCGCTCAGAGCCTGGGTGAAGGCCTTAAGCAGAAAGGGCCCCGCGGAGGCCGAGCGGCAGGGTGAGGAACACAGGATTTCCGAATCTCACCCTCGCACCTCCAGATCCCTGTCCAGATGCAATCTTGTCCTGACCTCCATGTGGACTGGAGTTCACACAGAGACACAGATGCTCACACGTGAACTGAAAGACAAATGCTCGTCACAAAGGAACACAGTGCTGTCCGCACTTCCCTGACCCGTCTCAGTGACGCATTCCCTCAGTGCCACTGCAGAGATCCACGCAAAACACACGCATGCTTTCCTTGCACGCGGAGTGCGAGGCCACCTTGTCAGAGACCCCTCCACACTTGCACGCCCCGGCTGTACGCACTTGCACACCGATACTCAGAAGAAGAGTTCAGTTCTTGAACCATGCTCTCCATGGTTTCCCAGAGCATCCCAGCTCAGAACGCTGCCAGCATCCCCCTAGGTTCATGGTCCTCTCTTTCCAAGTCCCGGAAGACCCAATGGGGCGGGGAGGGGCGGGGAGTTGGCGGTGCCTTCCACCACATTCCCCGACTCCCAAGAAGCCCGAAGCCACGCACGCTCTCCCTAGGCAAGGACAGAGGGGATGCCGGTGGAGGCGGTGGTGGGGTTTACAGGGGAGTAGCTTTCTCTGTTTCCTCAGAAGGTCCCGGGGACCAGGCAACCTCTTCCAGGAACCGGCCCCATTTCTCTCTTAGGACTTCACAGACCCGATGGTAGGGCATGGGGCCTGGTTCGGGCTTCCCGCGGATGTCAGGCGGACGACGGCTGCGCGCAGGACTTAGCCGTGACCTGGACCCCATGCCCGGGTCAGACCGGATCCTCTGGGTTAGGAGCTAGCTGTGCGCGGGCAGCGGAGACGCGGCGGCGCTGCGGCAGGACAAACCCCTGCCGCTGTTCAGAGGAGCCGCCGGGACACGGCCCGGCCGCACGGAGAGCGCAGCCCGGGGTACTCCTTCTTAGCGCTGGGCTACAGCGCTCGACTCCCCCCTTCCTGCGTGGCCGCCCAGAGTCAGCCTAGACCCGGGAGGGGCCGAACCAACGACGGAGCTCGGGCTGGAACAGACGCCTGGGACCCAACCAGGGCCCCAGACTCGTAGGTCGACGCGGGGTCTAAGTTGAAGCGGAGCGGGAGACCGAGGTTGGGGCTTAGGAAGAGGTGCTTGACTATGGGATCGGATTTGAGATCGACGAGAAGCTATCGCTTGGGGCCGGCCAGCCCCAAACCCAGAGCGGAGCCTGCCGGGGCCAGAGCCCGGACCGGTCTGGAGCACAGCTCAGGGGCCAGCCCGGGAGAGACGCTGGCACGGCAGGAGTTGGGAGTCGGGTTGGGACCCAGAGCTGGAGCTGGAGAGACAGCCAGATCAAGGCTGCGGTCCGAGGGGCCGGGGGCCTCAGAGCTCAACCGAGGCGCTGGAGGCCGGAACTGGAGCCTGGGACTCAGGCAGGACCCGAGACGGAGCCAGACGCACAACAAAAACCGAGCGGGTCGCAGGAACAGGAGGAGGATCTCGGGCCAGGCCCGGTGCTGGCACCGGTGCGCAGCCTGGAGCTGCTGATTCGTGACGCGGAGAACCCGCGGGGCCGGGCCCGCGCGGCGCGCGAGGAGTGCGCTCGGGGTTCTGGAGCCGGGAGACAGACACCACGCTCCGCAAAGGCGGCTTTCACGCGCGCGGGCGCCTGCCCGTGGCGACACTGCTGGCCCGGCGGCGGCAGCCTACCTGAAGTAGTCCATCTTGCAGAAGATTTCCTTGTTCTTGATGTAGCAGCTGTTCTGCTGCCTCAGCGACGTGCGACACACCGAGCACTCGAGGCACCGCACGTGCCAGATGAGGTTGTTGACCTGGGGAGGGGGCAGAGCGGGCGCGCTCAGCGAGGGCCTCTTTTCACGCCAGGCCCCGGCCTCCGGGCCCCATTTGCAGACAGAGGGGCTGGCGCTCTGATGGCGCATGTGACTTTCCCCACTTTTCTTCTGTGACACCGAGGCTCGGGGAGGCGCAGATGAACTCTTCCCATTTTGCAGATGGGACGGGGGTGGGGGGCGGTGGGGGGGGGCGCAGAGACATGCTACAATTAGCCCAAAGCCTGGCATCCAGGAATCGGAATTAAGCGGACTTCGTGCCAGCGTTTCTTCCCTCCAGCCTTCCGGGCTGCAACCCACACCCCGACAGCACACAAGCAACGCCCGGCCCCCCGTTTCACCTTGAGCAGATACCGGTCCAGGATCTCGAGGCCGCAGCTGGAGCAGATGTTCTTGCCGGCGGACGGCACGGAAGAAGCAGCAGAGGGTGGTGAGCAGACAGAGGGCGTGCTGGGCGTACAGGGGGAGGCCCGACCCTCGTCCTTGTCCAGAGCGCCTGCCAGGGCCTCGGCGTCCGCCTGAGCCTGCGGGGCGGCAGAGAGGGAGAGCCGAGCGCTGAGTCGGGCGAGGAGGCCAGGGCCCAGTGTTGTAGCGGCCTCGGAGACCAATCTGGAGCCCCAGCCTACCAGCTGACAACGAAATCCCCCCGAGACGCCGCGCCATGTGCTGAAGGGCAGGAATGCAAGGGCCTATCGGAGAGGAAAGGACGGCCCCAACTGTTAAGACGCGCGTCCCGGGTGTTGGGAGCGGTCAAAGCCCACATTCTCCGCCGGAAAACCCAGGCTCAGAGAGGGGCGGCGCCCTCCGGGAGTCCCCCAGCGCATGGGCAGCGGTTCGGGGCCGGAAAGCCGGGCCAGGTCCCTAGGGCCCGACCGCGGACCTGAGGCAGGGCCGAACGAACTCACCATGGCCGGCGGAGCGGTCCCTTCAAGGCAGCGGGTGGTCGCTTTGCAGCCGGACCCTGGCTGGGCCATCACCTGGGGGAGGGGGGTAGGGAACGCAGGCGCTGGCGGCTGCAGAGCTGGCTCCGCTCAGCCTGAGCCCAGCGCCTCCCCGCGCCTGTTATATAAACCGGCGCGGAACAATGAGTCCTAACTTTGTAGTGGGCATTTAAAGCCCTTCCCCACAAAAGCGGTGTCTCTCTAATGAAGCAATTTGAATTTGGATTGGATTTTTTCCCTCTCTCTCCCCCTCTCCCTGCACTTAACCCGTGGCTCTTGAAGTAATCGCTTAGTTCCCTTGCAATACAAGCCTCTGAGGGGGAAAAAAAACACGCGCACACACACAAACTACCTGCAATTAGAAATTGTCGTGAATGCCCAAGATAAGAGGTAGCCAGAGTGTCAATTCCAACTGTCAATCAGTGAGATCCATCAGGCCGCCCAAAGAATTGCAAATTTGATTTTTTAATGGTAGTAATTAAAAATCGAATTTTTTCTCCCTCCACCTACCCCCCTTCCTCGCTCCCTTCTCCTCCTCTCGACACAAAATGCAAAAAGGAGAAAAGAGAGAAAGAAAAGAAAAAGGAGATGGGGGCGGGTGTTGGAGGAAAATAAAAAGCGGAGCGCGGGAGCATCAGCCCACCCGCCCCGCGCGCGCGACTAAATTGACTCGGCGATATTGACACGGATTCAGGCGCCTTTGGAGGGCCACTCGGAGGGAGACCCGGAGCAAAATGGGGTCGAGACCGGGGGTGAAACGGGACCAAAAAGATTATACGGAGGTGTACAAGAGGAGGAAAAGACACCCTCCAGCCCCTCGGCGCGCCCGGGACGGCCCCGCGTCGGGATCCTCAGCGCTGCGCCCGCACAGCCCCCGGCGTATCCGTGCTATCAGCGCCTATTCAGACGGACAATGCCCGCCTCGCCTCCTCTTGATTCTCCTGTGTCTTTGCTAAATCGCTTTTTGAGAAATTCCTCCAACATTTGCATAATGTGTTCCCGCTTTCCGCGGCCCCCTCCCCCTCGCGCTCGCGCGCGCTCGCACACTCACGCTCGCTCGCACGCTCACAGGCGCACCCCCGCAGCCCCTCCGACAGCGGCCGCCCCGGCCGGGGCCGCTCCGCCGCGCGCCCGCTAGCTCACCTGGTCGGCGGCGGGGCCGCCCTCCGGCAACGCCGGGGCGGCGTTCTCGTGCTTCCAGTACATGGGCCGGGGAGCGGCGGGCCCGGCGGGCACGCAGCGCAGAGAGCCGCGCCGAGGGGGCCCACGGCCGGCGCAGTGGGCGCAGAGGCTGAAGCAGGAGCAGGAGGAGAGCGGAGGCGCCCGCTCCGCCGCTCCGGGCCGGGCCCCAGCCCCCGCCCCCGGCCCGCGCACAGCCCCGGCCTCCTTGGCTGCAGCCGCCGCTGCCTCGGAAGAAGGTCCCGACAAACTTGGAGAGGCCCCCGCCCCCTCCTCTCCCTCCCCCTCCCCGTAGTCCTCCTCCTCCTCCTCTCCCTCCTCCCCCTCCTCCCCCTCCAGCTGCAGCGTCGGCCGCCCTGCCGCTGGAGCCCGGCTCGGTTCAAGATGAGTCATGCGTGACCAATCCTCTCCCCGCCAAGGGAGAGCGAGACACACACAGCGAAGCAGCGACCCAGAGACACACACACACAGTCATGCAGACACACAGAAACTCAGAGCTGCTGACGGAGACTGAACGCGCGGACGTACAAAGGCACCGACAGGCAGGCACTCGGCCACAACGCTCTCACGCCGCCCCTCCGCCGAGGGCGCGCACAGCCCTCCGGCACGGCTCCGCTCTCAAGTCCAAGGGGGCCCGTGGTCACACACCATCAGCCGAGGTGGACTCCACACAAAGTCGCACATGATGCTCTGCGGATGCAGCCCCACGCCTGGCACGTCTGTGCACATGCTCAGGCAAATGACTGCCCTTCACACGGTTTTCGGGAGCGCAGGCATCCGCGGACCCTCGCACACCTGCGCAGACACCTCTGCTCCGTACCCGGCAGGGAGCGCCTCGGCTCCTAACCACTGAATGGGACTGGGCTGGGCGGAGGAAGACGGTGCTCGGGGGTGGGGGAGGTGTTCCCCTGAATTCTCTTGGGAGGGATTGTCTGGGACATCTCCCTTCCCTTCAGGATGTGCTGAGCCATCCGGTCGAATGCCCCTCTCACCTTCGCTGTGGTTCTGCCGATAGAGAGAAGGGGAGGCAGGGAGGCCCCGGCACTTGGACAGGACGCAGCCCCCAAACACAAAGACACTAAACTCTCAAAGACAGAACCTTACACAACCAACACCCGACGACATTCACACACAAGTGAACACTCACAGCCTCAGCCTCCTGCTGCACACACAGACTGATCCTGGAGAGTCACGTGTAAACATACAGCCTCTTCTAAAAAGCAAATACGCACACTCAGACCCAGCCCTACAGACACGGAGACACCGCACCTCTGCACCTCTGCCCTGGCCCGTGCCCCGACCGCCCGAATCGCCCTCATTCACAAACGTAAACAGCCACTCAAGTGTCCTTACCCTGGTGCGCACGGCCACACTCAGGTGAGCACAGACCCCCACAGTGCTTCAAAGTCCCGTAAAACCTCCTGTCCTCTACTCAGAGACCCACAGACACACACACGTCCCTACAAATGGAAAAGTGACCTTTTATAGGCAGAAACAGCCCCGCGCCTCTGCAGACACAGGACCCCCAGTAGGCACAGCCTCAGTCGCGCGCGCGCACAGAGTGTGTCCGCACAGCATCGCCCCTGAAGGATACACCCAGGTACACAGCGACAGCCCCAACCCCAGCCAGTGGCGTCTGCCACCACCTGCACCCCCGCATTCCAGTCACTTATTGCTCTCAGACACAGGAGTTCAAAGTGAAAAGTTTCTCAAAAAAACTTTTTATACTAAGAGCACAATTGCAATGTGAAAGCTGGTGAAGTATGTGCATTTACAAGTGTGTGTACACACACACTCGCATCCTCAAACATTCCGGTGACCACAAATAACCTGTTCCCCCTCAAATATCTCTTTTGCACACAATAAACCCAGTCACTGCTCCTGGGGACTTTCATCCATGACAGGCTTGGCATTTTACAATTGTGGCTTCACTTTCTTTTAAAAATAATCTTATGAGGTAATGTCTCTTATTGTACCCATTTTACTGATGAATAAACTAAGGTTCGGAGAGATCATGTGATATGTCCAAACTGGTGCCACATAGCTAATGGCCAGAGGCCAGAACTCAAAGCCAGGTTCATCTGACATCAGAGCTTATGCTAAAATTCTAGGCTGTATGCATGACCATGCCCGCTCTCTGCACACACACATGCACAGATGCAGGCACATTTTTTAAAAAATTATTTGTCTGAAGGCCTGGATATGACTATTGTCCTCACTACTCACAGCCTAAACTTCTTTTCTCAGCTGCAAACCAAGAATAACGATAGTATGACCTTTACCTCCTTCTCCTCCTCCCCTTCTGGGTGGCTGGGGGAAGCAGGGGGTCATTGGACATTAAACAATGCTGCACATCTGCCAGATGTGTGAGTGCAGAACAGCTCCAGAAAAGGAGAAGCCCAGGAGGATGGTACTGGCTTTGCAAAACTTCCCAAGAAACAGGTGTGGAGGAGGCTTGAGCTGAAACTAGAGGGCAGAGGAAGTGTGGGTGGATTCAGGGGAGACAAGCAAGGATTCCAAGCAGAGACATGGCTACAAAGATGCAGAGGCTGGAGAACCAAGCTGTGGCGCTCCTATGAAAAGGAATGTGAAGTGTGCAACCTTGTTTGGTTAAGAGCAATAACTACCATTAACTGAGCATTCATGTGCCAAGCACTGTTTGACCTGCATTTCCTCTTTAACCCTCACAGCAAGAATGTTACATGAATATACTTATTTTATAGTTGAGGAAACAAGCTTATAGGAGCCACCTTTCAAGCTCTAGCCCTCAGACTTCAGAGCCAAGCTCTTACCTCCTATTTCCTTCTGCTCCTGAATTCTGATGAGGTGCTCAGAGAATGAAAACTGGAGTAAGAGACATTCAACCAGGCAGCAAAGCGCAAAGACTGCCGTGGTGCCCACCTCGGCACTGCCCCTTACGCCCAGTGTGGCCCTGGACACGTGATTCGGCCACTCTTCAGTTTTAGTTTCCTCATCTGTAAAGTGGGGGTGATAACGAAGTTCACTTCTTATGCTTATAAAATTTAAGCAAAGGATGAACATATGAAAGGGTTCAGAATTATCCCCGGCATGCAGAAAGCAGCCAATAAATATTAGCCATCATTACCATCGGGACTAGCTGCGCTGTCCACTTGTTATTCTACTAGATGCCACTTCAAATATTTTATGGAGGAAGGCAGAGCATAAATCAACCAAAAATCAAATATTTTCCTGAGTAACTTGCCTGAGGAAGCTGCAGAACCATTATTGCCACCCAGGGTTGCCTGACTTCAAAGAGGACAAAAATGAAATGACTTTGGAAAACTCTTCCAACAGTTCCTGCCTCCAGCGGGAAAGAGAGTCCGGAGAGGAGTGACCTTGGCAGAACCAGGACCAGCAAAGGTGATGCATCCCACCAGGACACTGGATTTCTTCCCACAGGGGACAGGGCGAGTCGCTGCGCTTGTTTCCTTGCTTGCAAAATGGGGATAACACTGACCTCTCAGGATTGTGGAGAAATGAACTGTCTATTAAAAACCAGTATTTTTAAAGTGTCGCCTCTCTTCCTGGCCCCTGTAGAAGCCCCTTACATGTAAACCATGGTGAGTAGTCGACACATCGACATCCTACACGGACAATGTCATCATTCTCATCGCAGTCCTTCTCCCGGTCCTTGAACAGGATGCAGTCATCTCATCCTCGAAGGTGAATTTTGCCGCCCTGCTCCACCTGAGTCTAGGCCCTTGGGCTGGGTTTGGAAAGAGGCTTCATTAGTAACTGGATAATTCTGCGGGATCGCCCCCAGCAGCGGTTCCACCCTGCCGGGAGGTAATTCTAGGAAGGTAATGTGAGCTGGGGGAGGCTGGAGACCCAGCGTCACATTTATTTACTCTGACAGCTAAATTGGTGAGCAAGGGGGGAAATCAGATGAAAGCCATTTCAGAGTAAATACTAAATACAAAATTTAAACATTCATGTTGTGACAAATGGGAAGGGGGCAGTGAGAAGAGGTACGGACGGCATGCCCCTCCCCACTCAGGGCCCTATCCTCACCTTGTCACCTTCCTGGGCATTTCCTGTTTGACTAGAGGAGAGAGCACGGAATGGGCTTATAACTGCATGATCCTAGGCAAGAAATTTGCCCCTGCTGGTCTGGGCGTCCTCCTCGGTAAAATGCGTGCGTGTTGTTCGAATCACAGGACTGGGGGAGTGATGGGGAGAGCTCTAGCCTTGGAGTCCCAGAGACCTGAGGTCAAATTCTAGCCCAGCCACTTCCTGGCTGGGTGAACTTGGAAAAGTCACTTAACTGAACGTGCGTTTCCTAAACTTTGGGGATAGTATCAACCTCAGATGAGTAGATGAGATGATCCATGTAAAGGAGCTGTTTTTTTTTGCAAATGTGAGCAGCTGTATTCCCCCTCAAAGTACCCTTCCCATGAGGACATTCACTGTGTAAGTTCACGTCAGCAGGCATTTACGAAGCACTCGCTCCAAGCCCGGATCCAGGCTAGGCAGAGGGAACACAGAGGAAAACAGTGTCCGGGGACACTGGGGAGAGGCAGCATTTGTAGTGCAGTGTCACAGGTGCTGCCCAGTGGGGACACAGGTGCTGGAGAAGCAGGGGGTGGGCACTGAAGCTGGCTTACAGGTAAGTATTAGGAAAGGTGTTCTAGGGGAGGTGACCTTTCAGTGACGTCCTAAGGGATGAGTAAGTGTGAGGCAGGCCAGGCCTGAAGAGAGTTGGATCAGAGTGGAGGAGTGGGTGCCCAGTGAGTGGTTTTCTGGGGGCGATGTCAGGAGATGAGGCAGGGGAGGGAGGGAGGAGCCACACTGTGGGGGGCTGAGCACTGAGCTGAGCAGGCTGGAGTCATCTGGAAAGCTCTGGGTCGAGGAGGCCAAGTTTGCAGGAAGCAGCATCCTGTCTGCAGATGCAGCGTGGTGCGGCAGTGGCTAGGGATCCTGGGTTTGGCGGCAGGTAGCCTGAGTTGATACCTGACTCCATTACACACTGCCTGGGGGACCCAAGGTGGGGGACATAAGCCGTGCAGCAAACTCTATGAGCTTCGTTTCCTCAACCACGAAGTAGACATTAACAGAGAGCCCAGTCACAAGTGCTGGGACAATTGCAAGAGACCAGGATGCTTCTCCAAATGAAGAGCTTGGCACTGGCCTAGCATCCAGGGAGCACTCAGTCACCCGGTGCCATTGTCATCTGTAAGGAGAGGGTGTAAAAAAGGC